AAAGCTGTATCTCACTTATTATTATATTTTTACTCGTAAAAAAGAAATTACTTAAAATTATAAATTAATTAAAACTGAAACAGACTCCCTGTATTAATTATATTTTTGAATATTCAATGCTAATTAATGAAGGCCTAGAAATTGAGTACCAAGAAAATAATAATGATGATAAAAAAATGACACCAAAAAATGCATTCGTATCTAACTAGAAACATCAATTTGATAAAATAATTTCCCAGAAGCCCTAAGTACTATATACTACTTTGCGCGTCCGGAATTTGGATCTGATAGACGGATCGACGATTCGAACCTTCACTGGACCAGAAAAAAATTAAAAATATAATAAGTGAAATGTGTGGAACTGTGGACATCGTGAATATCACAACTGTCATGCTGGAAGTAATTCGAACTTCCGTTTTCTACGCATAAATTTATATACATAATAGTAAATGCACATGCAACTGGGCCAAGTGCATATTAAATAGATATTATAGTTTAGTGATGTGTTTGCGTGTAGAACGATGTTATGTAAAACCTATAAAAAATATGTGACGGCTGTCTAGTAAAGATCTGCAAATGTTAAGCAAAAATTTGAAAATTTAATCGAAAGAAACGTTTAAATTAAAATTATATGTTTGCTTAAAGTTTGGTCATCTCTCTATTGGCAGCCCTGTACGTCTTATGAAAAGAATGTGGGAGTTCCGGTAGATCTTCGATCTGGCACTGTAACTAAGAGAGTGTATTATTAGAAGGTTCCGGTTCATCACTATATGTATATGACTGGATGTATTATGTCTCGTTGTTTTACAAATTTATTTTACTATGTATAGTCATTATTGTACTACACAAAAACCTGGTTGAACTTTCAACTCTCGAGCATCCACGAATAATATTTTTAAATTACAACAATTAAAAAATGTAACTTTTATTTTGCATTTTTAAGACTTTGTTATATTTTTAGAGCATTTATTGATATTTTAATGCATTTTTATGGTTTTTAAGACATTTTTTCAACATTCATTCTAAAAAAAAAATAAAAATACCTAAATATGTATTATGCTACGAAATTATGCTAAGAAACAAAAGGTAAAAGTATTACGAATATACCTATCTAAATTAAAATAAAATGGACAGAAGATGTATTTTTTTTATAAGTTTTAAATTCAAAATTGGGTTTTTATTGAATATAAATACATTTTTAAAGTTTTTTAGGGCATTTTTTTAGTGCATTTTTTTGGTGTTAAAGCATATTTTTAAGGCATTTTTCTTGTTTTTTAGAGCATTTAAATCCGTTCCCTAATGATGAACATTGTTTAAAATTCACAATTTCCATGAATATTATCAAATTTCAAGCAATTAATACTAATACAATTTTTTTGCATTTTTACCACGCTAAATTAGATGTTTATACTTTACCATATATTTATTACTACTGTTTTTCCCAATATTTAACAATATACAATATAAATATTATTTTATCTTTATATATTATTTCAAAAATAGTTATTGTG